GTTAATGTATTTAGCACTGATTTAGATACATCCAGCCTGAAATTCACCAATGGGCTTAGGAAGGGAAAAAGACAACTGACTGACAGGTGAGGGAGCTTTTAACAACAAACCTGAGGCCTGCAGTGTGAGGGAATTTGGAGAGCAGGCCTTACTCTCCCTCAAATCACCTTTCATAGTAAGATTTTTCTTCCCCAAGATGTCTGTTTTGCTCCCAGTTACACAGTTAGTGTCTTACCTGGGTTTTAAAAGACTAGAATTTGGATTGTAGGCTTGCAGGTGTTTGCAAGAATGTTGAATAAAAGGCAGACTGGGTATATAGTGAAGCTTTGTTTTGTTTTGCGCAAGAATTTCACTCTTCTAACTCTAAAGATGCAGCGCTCTTTGTTTTCTCTGCTATTACAGTCGGGTAGATGCACACAAGCACCAGCTTTCTGCTCCACACAAATTTCACTGTCTTCCTGCTGGTGCTCTCTGATGGCAATCTCAGCCTTCCATTTGACAGCTCGGTTGCTGCAAAGATGATGGGGATGTCAGCTGCAGAAGGTTAAGAACATGAAGTGAAAAACTATCAGCAGGAGCTGATAAAATCTCGGGTAATGAGAAATCCTATTCTAAGACACAGACACATCGTACCACAAAGACCTGTGCTAAGCAGCAGGGAGAGGTGTGGGTTTATCTCCGGGCAGGTATTGCAAAGAATGCAAGGGCTGAAATGTGTGAATTCTTGCTGTGCTGCAGCAGTCAACAAATTTAGTTTAAACTAGCTTTTAATAATGTAAGAACTGAAAATACAAATGCCATGCAAAAAAATAAATAGCTGGATTCGGGCAGTATAAAATCTTTCCCAGACTCGTCCCACAGCGATGGTTAACCTTCCTGAGAGAAGGGAACTATTGTTCCGCCTTCCCTTCACCCTAAGCTGGGCTTAGTGAAGGAGGGTTTGTGTTCCTGAAAGCTGTGCTCCTGCTTTTTTTCAACTGTATCAGTTAGTCCAATGAAAACACATCACCTCTCCCCACGGAGCTTGTCTCGCTGAAGTTACTGCTTCTGCTTTCATCTAACTGCCTTGGATCGTGCTCCTGTCTTCCTCCGGTAGCTGAAAGGCCGAATGGACCGTGGGGAGCAGAGCATACCGCGTCGCCTCATGCAGCTGCAGGGGCCAGTCAGCCCTGCTGTAGGGGATCCAGCCCGGCCCAAAGGGTCGTAGTAACAATATATGGTACAGCGAGAACTAAAGAAAGGGGAAATGCAGTCCCTTTTCATTGTTTGAGTTGCAAAGCAGTTACTAATCCTTTCAAATTTTAGTCTTTGTAATTTCCCTTTAGGAGGCGCATAAGAAAGCTCCCTTTCCTGTTTCAGTCTGCTTTTTCTGTATAATTATACTATATTATCTGGAATTAAGACAGAAGTGGTACTCACTGCTTACATAAATGTATTGACCGCACCCAGCATTGCTTCTTTTACCTAGTGCCCCTTAACTGCCTTCCAACCCAGAAAAAAAAAAATTGCTTAAAATACATGAGAAGCCAGGTTAACCTGAATTAAGATGTAATTTGCCAGCTCAGGAGTCACATGTGCCTTCCCAGCTGCAGTAGCTCAGTACCTAATGGGCACGATATGCTGCCTTTATAATGGAAAGGCAGGAACAGACACAGATTAAACATAATGTAATGAAAGCAAATTATGTATTTAGAAGCAAGTAGTGGGGATGATCCAAAGGTTGCTTGAGGATTAGCATTGCAAAGGTACATTCTGATTTGTTAGTGGCTTCGCTGGAACGTGAATATAAGCCTCTCATTTGAAGGCACGTGGTTATATTTGTAAGGAGCTCCGAGGAGTCCAACACGACGGTGCGGGTAACTAGCACATGTGGGAGGCACGTGCAGGCTAGCAGTGTGTCAGAAAAGAGCAGGATTATTTTTAGGTATTTTGTAGACAGCTGTGTCACATCCAGGAAGCACAGGGAGGAGATCTCTGGGTGAAGCACAGCGTAAGAATGTATTTTTTAATGACCTTGGCACTGGAAACAGTTGTATTTTTTACTTTCTTACAAAGCAGAGGCTGAAAAGCAAACTTGCTGAAAAGAGCTGTGTTTTCTGATCGGGCGAAGCTCATGGAGTAATCATGACTACCGGGGGCCCCGAAACAGAGGTGGCTGTGTATTTTTTTTAAAAAAAAAAAAAAAAAAAAAAAAAAAGGTGAGACAGTGGATTAAGAGACAACTGAGAGGAATATACAGCGCATATGCGCCTAGGCAGGTTTTTTAAACAGAAGGTCTAAGTTTAGATGCTTAACTCCACGATTAGGCATCTGAATAGCAGGCCAGATCTGTCAGCGTGAACTTCTTCCCTTTCCCTTTCAATTGCACTTAATGGAGAACGGCATGTGCTCAACATTTCCAGAAATGAAGCTGCATAGCTGACAAGTTTGACATTTTTTTGGTCTCCAACTAAATTAGATATGCTGTTTAACAAGAAACCGAGTCCTTGTTCTGCTTCTTTACTCTGTCCATACTGTTTTTAATCCTCCTTACTCTTTGGGGAAAAAGAAACCATTTGCATGCTTTTATTTTCTGTTGCGTAACTAACTGCGGTGACTGAATAGGTTTTTGTTTTACAATATATTGCAGTTGCATATCAAAGTTCTTGTAATTTATCTACATGTGCACATGTTGATTCCACTCAGGTTTCTGTCTCTGAGCTGAATCGAAAAAGCCACTCGTATTATACAGCATCAGGCGTTGTAAAATAAAGCGCTTCTCTCCAAGGAGTGGAAGGGCAGTGTTAAGGTCTTCTGGGGTCCAGAGTGATTTACTTGTTAAATGCATTTCTTGTGGCAATTAGTCAAAAACTGGTTTCCTCCTTGTTAATCCAGCTGAGAGGAGAAACTGGCAGTGGTGGTCATACATCCTGCAGGCAACTATGATGTATTTCTGAAAACACACAATCTCACTTTTCTGAGTGGTAAGATGATTCTTGTGAGCAGGATTAACAGTGTGCCAGTGTTTTTTAGTTAGTGTCGTTCCCCAGAGACCCACATCTTCAGCTTTTCTTCAGGTGCAGTTTGCATAAGACTTTGGTTGACAGGTAGGAAAGAGATGTAGTAGATTTGTTTCCCGAACAAAGTCCAAGTGAAATTTTCCCATGAAGGCTATTTTGATTCATGCATAGCTTTGCCTTTACCGAGGGTGGACATGTAAACCTTAATTCTATACTCCTAACCCTGCAGACTCGATGAGGTCCAGCCGACAGCAGAGTGGATGGAGACATGGGAGGATGGCACTGAGCTGGGGTGGCTCGGCAGCCTCAGTAAATTGTTTTTATAGAACTAGATGCAAGATTACAGAACCAGCTGTACTTGGGTGTCATTCAAACCTCATCTTGGAGGCTGAAGAGAGAAATTAAAATACAGGTGGTTTGAGAACCTTTGGGAAGCTAGCAGATTTAGTGAAAGACATGCTTTTAGTTTGCATTGGATGAGATGCTCCTCCCCACGAAGACAGCTTGGGCACTTGCTTCTGCCCCTTGATCTGTCTGGGCTGGGGGATGCATCTGACCCTCTGCGAGCTGGAATAGCCATGGCTGGTTCAGACAGCAAGCTGGTTGCCTTACCGTGCAGGCAGGCAAGTTTCAGTGCTGGGACAAGGGAGCAGGGTGACGCTACACGGCTAGAAACAGGATTGAGGGAAGTGAGGCAGGGTGAGAGGCTTCTTTTTCAGTAGTCCAGATATAATGGCCACATGCCCAGCCTCAGAAGGCAAGTTTTGAAGGAGAAGGTTTCACACACAAACGAAATGGCGAGAAAACCCTGTTTTCATGTATGGTTACCAGCCTCTCAGCCAGAAGCCCTCCGAGAGTTTCTCAGGCACTCCTCAACATATTTATGTGCCTGTAGGTGGTCTTGGCAGTCTTTGGGAGGCTGGCTGGCCCTGAGCCTCAGAGGCTTGTTGCCTCTCATGGACTGGCAACTCTCTATTCTCCTTGTCCCATGTATAAAGGGAAGATCTTTGGAAGGTTGGTATCTTGGTCCTATTTTTCAGTGTGCTCTGATTAGCTGAACCAGTCTGTGCTACATCAGCTGTTTCTGCTTCCGTGAAGACAGCTTTACTTGTTTGAGAGAGCCTATAATAATTCACAGGGTGTCACACAAATCCGAAATCATTGGGATATTATTTTTAAAGGCTGGTTAATTTTCTAATCAGTTACTTGTCCCTAAGCAAGCCAGGATTTAAATATCTTGTAGTTAAGTATTCTCAGTGTTTTCGTTGAGTGTAAAAGTAAGATAAGCAGTCCCCTGATCTCTGGAATTTCCTTTTAAAAATGGATGTAAATCAATGCACACAAAGATATCTGAAGAAATTATTTTAGGATGTGACTTCCTTATTCACTAACATTTTGGGGCTAGGAATGAGTGAAATGAAACAAACTTCTGGAAAGACTTTTCTGCAAAAGTGGCTTGACAGGATCGGGTTGTAGTAGAAGCAGCAGCCAGAGACATTGGGCCCTAAAGAGGCATTGCTTGCCCTGAAAACTGGAATCAAAACCTAGTAAAAATGGACAGCTGATATGCATATATACAGCATAGATAAAACCATAAAGTTCCTTTAGTTTTACTGCAGTCATCTTTTTGGTCTTGCATAAAATAATTTTATGGCTGCACAGACTAAAAGGACTCTTAAGTCTGATACTGTGTGCACACGCTGATGGTGATGGGAGACATTACTGCTCCCCAGCCACCTGGGGCTTCTTCTCTTCCAGAGACGACTGTCCTTTCCCATCTGTGTCAGCAGAGAGGAATTTGTGCCCATGCTGTGGTCTCCCATGGATGCAATCACTTGTAAAAGTTTAACATGCCAGACTGTGAACTGAACCCACTGAGATGTGGGTAGGGATCCCGCCAGCTTACTGTGTTGCAAGGGCAGTAACTTTTGCTAAGAAAAGTACCGCCAACAGCAGAGGGAAGTGATGTCTGAGGTGGAGCAACTTTATTTGCTAGAGCTGCTTGATCAAAGCTGTAATAGCAATGGCAAATCACGCCAGCTAGTAGGCAAAGAAACATCAAGGTCACAATTTTGCAAGTGTGTGGGGAAAAATCTTGGAAAGATTAGCCACAAAATGAAAGACGGTCTCACTTCTCAGTCTTTTATCAAAAAGTTGCCACAGTAAAATGTGTGTATTTGCTATCGCAAAGGGCATTCCCTTAATATCTGCACAAGTGGAATGCAAAATACACAGCTGAAACACACTCTCTACAGATGTCAAGATGTACATTTCCAAAGAAGTTTCCACAGAAGAGAACAGGTTCGCTTGAAGTGCAGAGGAAATGAGCTATAAAACAGAAAAGACTGCAAATTATCATCACTGAAGTGTCTTCAATGGTACAATCCACCCAACTCATCTTGCAAAGAAAGCTTTCAGCTCCTTTGCAAGACAGGAAAAGCTGGCTAGTGCTAGCTAAAGTAATTATTAGTGCTAACATGTGCTCTTCTCCCTAAGTAACACCTGAGGGAAACTTGTGGGAATTTGGACCCAGTTCTTATCACAGGAGATACTTGCAGGCGTTTATCAACCCAGGTGACTGATACCGCAGGTAATGACGGGACATTCAAGGTGTGGTTATCTAGATGATAAGGGAAAGACCACTGAATGTCTCCTGGCCTTCAGAAGGGGTTATTTCCCCATTTCCATCTCCAGCTCTCTGCTTCCAGATCCGAGTTCCTGCTGCTTTCCTTGTGATGTCTCATGTGACTGCATGATAAAGCAAGCTGACATACTAGCAGCAAATAAAAGTAAATATCCTGCTGTTGAATCAGCTAAATCTGTGGTCAAATATGCCCAAAGCCAGCTCAAAAAAAATACTTGGCTGGGATTGCACAGCTCCTAGCAAGGCCATTGTTTCAACAGGGCATTAGATGGGCTCAGCTATATCACCTAACCATGCATGGTGGCTGAGTCAATCCAACACCACACTGCTTCCAAAAAAGGTCTCACCATCAGAGCTTGCAGCCAGCAGTGAGGAGACAAGGAGGAGAACGGGACGCCTGTTTCACAGTGATGTGCTCTGAAATCAGCTAAGCTTTCTGTAAGCTTCACCTTCAGTAGTACTGCTGCCTAAGCTAGCTGAAGCAGATCCCACCTTTTCCCCTGCCTACCTGCCTGTTACCATTCCAGCGGTGTCCTGGCCCAGCCACCGTGGAGCTACTCAGGATTACCTCAGGGAACTGATCTGGCTGAAAAGTAACCTGCAGAAAAAAAAAATGCAGTTTCTTAGGTGTGCCACATTACTTTATCCAATTTATGCCATAGATGCACAAATATCTGTGCCAGTATAAGAGAGAGGGCAGGAAGAGGTGGATGGGAATAGATGTCTGTGAAGTAGCATGCCTAACAAAGAAATGCATGCTGAATCTTCGCTAGCTCACCATTAAATGTAACCATTTCAGTGTGGCTGTGCAGCTGAGTAAGCCCCAAAACTGATAGGTGTCTCTGAGCAGACCAGGTATGGTAGATAATGTCGCTGATGAGGGATCAGGAAGAGGGTAAGATAGGCCCAAGTCAATGATTCTCTGTAGCTTCACCTACACCCCATCAGGTAAGAAAGAGAAAATTAGATATTGTGGCATCTCCCACACTGAATGAGTTAAAGATCAGGATAGGCAATTATTTTCCAAAAGGGAGGGTCTGTGTTCTACCAGACCTTCCTCAGTAGATACTGGGGAAAACAAGTGTTCTCGTGAATCTTTCTGACACCCTGTATTTTGGCGCTGAAAGCCAGAAGACCTGTGCTCTCAAATATCTCACCACACTGCATTTCTGGATATGTTTGTGCGAGGCTTGTTTTACTTATGTGAGAAAACTGCAGTCTGTCTCCTGACAGCCACGTCACGATGCAGCAGTATCTTACAGACCCACAACGGGGGATTTGGGATTTTCCCCTTGTGAGTAACACTGCCATCGTGTATTTCTCTCAAAGTAAATTACAGGGGCGATCTAAACTAAAAGGCTAAAATGGACCCTGTTGAAACCAGCTGAATGAAGGAATGCCAAAAAGTCCATGCACTTGCTTTCTCTGGAGGCAAGAGATAACTGAGATATTAATACTTCACTGGAACCAAAGAAAGCACAGAAGAACAGTTTGCATGGCTTCTCCATCTGCAGTCAGAATTTAGTTTGTGTCCTGCTTTTCCAGTGGCATCAACGGGTTTGTGCAAGTCTTCATTTATTTCTAAGAGCTTTTGTTTGCGTGCTGTAGATGGAAAAAAAACCCTTTTCTCCACCAGATGGCAGAATCGCCAAAAAACCTTCACTGACAAACCTTACAAAGCTAGCACAGTCTAAGCCTGAAGGGTTGTAAGCAGAGGTAATGTGTGTCAGACCAACTAATGGTGCCAGGGGAGGTGGCAGAAAAACAAGCTTGATGGCACGTCCTTCAAAAATTCATAGACCTTTTTGATTAATGCTTCCTCTCTCTCTCTCTCTCTCCAAATCTTGCCTTCCCGATAAAGACTGAATGTTATCCTGATCTGTATTGCCCACTGGTACTTAGAAAGAGGTTTCAATTTGTAGGGCACCTGGGGTAGGGGATTCCCCTTGCTTTTCCTGTTTCATATTTAATCACACACACACACACACAAAAAAATTATTCTGGTAACAAAAACAAGTCACATACAAGAACTACCTGTCTTGTTCAAGTTTCTCTAGTGCAGCTGAACTCATCAAGAGCACTCAGGCTAAAACACGCCACATACTGGAAACCAGTACCAGGTGGCTTTCAGGTGGAAGCTATCAAAAACTAAACTCTACAATAAAAGAAAAAAGGCAGGGTATGAAATATAAGGATATTAAAACCCTTCAAAAAATGGTTCTATATGTGGCTTTATCAACGCAATTCTGCAAACATTTTCACATGTAATTACCAAAAATTCAGGCATGTAACAGTATTTTCAGAATAATTTGTAAGCTCTTGGTATGAAACTTTTTACATGTCTGTCTAGAGAGTATATATATATTAAATATACTGCAGAAATATTAACAAAATCTGAAAAGCAGCAATGACGTGGATGGGATAAGGAGACAAAGAATATGCAAGTACTGGGAGAAAAATACTGTAGGGGGCAAAGTGGAGAAATTCAGAGATGAATGTAAAAAGGAAGCTCAAGATGATGCTGGTCATCCCAACCAGTGTCTGGCACCTGAACTCCCATATTCCAAAAATCCCACTTTCTTAGTGTTTCTCACTGCAGCTGTGAGAGTGGAAAACGTGTATGAGAGCTTTCCCCTTGATTTCTGTGACTGTCATATTCCAGGGCCTCGGCACCCAGCTCAGCACAAGCAGATTAATCATCTAGGCTGTGGCAGCAGAACTGCCCGCTGCACCTCTGTGGTCACAGAACTCCTCCCCGGAATGGCTCCTCTTTTAATAGGG